TTCCACAAAATCGCAGGACATTAACTAGGGCTTTTTTTTCTTTTCGATCATCCTGCAACCCTATCTAGCTTAATTTCTCTCCATTTCTCTCTCATGATCGAAGGACAAAACAAGACACAAATTTCACTTGCAGAAGAGTTAGTGATTTCTCTCCATTTCTTTTCGAGTTACGAACAAAGACACATAGAACGTAAAAGAGGAGGAAAAAGACACACACACATTGTGTGTGAGGTGCGGCTGCCATAGCTTTCACTTCCAGAAGAGTTGCTAAGAGTCGGTGATTCCTTCTAGGGTTCGACAAGCTTAATCCATATCTCGACATCTTACCTCCTACATCATATTTCTTCAACCATTCGTGACCATTCTAGCGTTTAACATGTTCTTCAGCATTCTAGGGTTCGACATCTTACCTCCTACGAACATGTTTCTTTCCAATAAAGGTATATGTTGTTTCTTTCCAATGTTTCTTCGCCACATTTTACCATGATTTGTAACATCATTAGATCATTAATAATTGATTTCATGCCAAAACTAATACTCCAGACTTCACAAACGAATTTCATGAAGTTAGGGTTCAAGAACAGATCGAGTCAGATGAATCCACCAAAAAAATCTCATAAAACCTCGTTATGAACTGCAGAAGCCAAACAAATCTCATATAACCTTCTTTTTTCAACTTTTCTGCTGATGCAAGGAAAGGGAATGTGGGAGAGAACAAGCTTGTTGATGCACATGCGTTAAGACTGTTTCATAACAAACATTTGCAATGGCGGTTTGCAAATGCGAAAGTAGATGCTGCCATGGTTGTCCTGCAAGCAACTGCTCACAGTAACAACCACCAAATTGGAGTTTTCAATTGATCTTCGCCAGCATAAAGATATCATACAGTTATCCGTTATGTACCTTGTATCTGAAACAATTACAATTTCTTTCAGAAAAGTCTGTATAACGCATGCGTGACTATCTCAAAGATGTGGCATTCTGTCATATCGAAAAGATTATAGATACAACAGCTGAATCAGGACTTGAAGTTGCACTCTATCCTCAAGAAACAAGTTAGAATGTCAATTCACTTCATTGTCACTTTCATTTTGTTATTGATTTTCCCCTATTTTTAATATAAAATAGTGTTCTTAATTCTGATTGTATGTTTCTGACAAATGGAGATGCCATATTTGGATGAATGGGATCAAAATGAAAAGGATCACTCCATCTTCTTATGTGGGGCTATTAAGGTTCTGGAGTCTAGCTCTCTCTGTCTTCCAGTTTTATGTGGTGCAAAGGTATGATCTTCAAATCTTAATGATCTTCAAAAGTAAAACTATAAAAAATATTTGTTACACTCATTGATTTTACAGGCAGATGTTGATGTGATGCAGAGAATACCAGTTCTGGAGCAGTTGTTGATGTGATGCAAAAAATATCAGTCTCCATATGCTCTTTAGTAACTAAGGTGAATTGGAACATCTAACTCTATGAATCTTTCTTTTTTCAACTTTTTTTTCTACATGAAACCTTTTATTAAAACGGTTTTTATAACAGGTGGAGAATGTGACTTTTTTGGCATTTGAATTTTAACAAACAACAAAAGGCGAATGCTTTTGCTTGATCAATGCAAGGATCTATTTTTAACATCAACACTCTTTGAGGCAAGTCTTGTCAGTGGTTTTCTTTTTTCCTATGAAGGGTTTATATGAAAATGGAAAGAAAAAAAGGTAAATGAGGACAGATTTGTAAAATGACCGAGACTTTCTATATTAAGTCGATATTTCTTTATGCACAGGTGCAAGAATGTAGTCTGAGAGCACATGCATTACAACTTGTACGTCCGAGTACAATGACAAGATTGTGAATGTGATGTCGCATTGATTCCAGATGGCTCTCTTTTGGAATCTAGGTGCCTATATGATGATATTTTTATTATTTTTAACTAAAATATTATAGTAAATAGGCCAAAATTCAAGATTATGAATTGAATTTATTGTTGTATGTAAATAGGAGAAGAGAAAAAAGGATAATATATTTCACCGCCATTTAAAACTGAGAAATTACAGAGCTTAAATAGGAAACAAAAACATGAACTGAAAGAAAGATAAAAAGACAGACTAGGACTCTTGACTTTTGTAACTGAAAAACAACATTTAAGACTCTACTAATGCAGTAATTAAAGACACATGGCAATGATTATTTGAATCAATTAACCAACACTCCCCCTTGATTCAAAGTTGCATACTCCGAGCTGCATTCTAAAGAACTCATGTTTGGCTTGAGGAAGAGATTTAGTGAATATATCTGCTGTTTGCTCATTTGTCCCACAAAAACTCAGTTTAATCTTTCCATCAATGATCAACTTGCGAATAAAATGGTATTGCACATCTATATGCTTCGTACGAGCATGGAAAGCAGGGTTCTTGGCCATTGCAATGGCTGATCTGTTATCACAAAATACCTCTGTTGCATCTTCTTGCTCAACACACAAATCAACAAGAATTTTTCGAAGCCATAAGGCTTGTCAAGCTGCTGCGTTTGCTGCTATGTACTCGGCTTCTGATGACGATAGAGCCACTGTATCTTGCTTCTCAGAACTCCATGTTACAACTCTGGAACCAAAGCTGAAAACATTACCTGATGTGCTTTTGCGATCATCTAAGCACCCAACCCAATCACTATCGCTGAAGCCTACCAGCCTAAATTCAGAAACTCTTGAATACCAGATGCCATAATTCTTGGTACCTGCTACATAATGAAGAATCCTCTTGGCTACACCAAGATGCAACTTTGTAGGGCTGTGAAGAAACCTTGATACTACACTAACAGGAAAAGAAATGCCTGGTCTACTATGTGTCAGGTAGTTCAGACCACCAACTAGACTTCTAAACACACTTGAGTTTGCTTTATCGGATCCATCTTCATGATGTAGCTTGTCATTGATGTTCATTGGTGTTGTTGATACTTTACCACCAGCCACATTGAACTTTTTGAGCAGGTCTGTAGCATACTTCTTTTGACATACAAAAATTCCATCTTTTCTTTGCAGCACTTCAAGCCCAAGAAAATATTTTAACAACCCTAAATCTGTTATCTCAAATGTGCTCATCATGCAAGATTTAAAATCATCAATTAAGGACTTAGATGACCCCATATAGATGATATCATCCACGTAAAGACAAACTAACAAGAATTCTCTATTACCTTGTTGCTTGAGGTAAAGAGTGGGCTCATTCTCACTTCTTTTGAATCCGTTTTCTTGAAAGAAAGAATCAATCTTACTGTACCACGCACGCGGAGCCTGCTTCAAACTGTACAAAGCCTTTCGCAACTTGTAGGCTTTATTTTCAACATCTTTAACAACAAATCCTTGAGGTTGAGCTACATACACTTCTTCATTTAACTCACCATTCAAGAAGGCGGACTTCACATCAAATTGAAAAACAGGTAGTTGAAACTGTGTAGCCAATGCTATAATAATTCTCACTGTCTCGAATCTAGCCACGGGGGAAAACGTTTCCTCATAGTCTATACCGTATTATTGTGAATACCCTTTCGCAACAAGACGAGCTTTGTGCTTTTAAAGACTTCCATCAGCATTATACTTTGTTCGATATACCCACTTAAGTCCTACAACATTCTTGTCTTTTGGAACATCAACCAACTCCCATGTTGAGTTTCTTTCAATGGCTTGTATTTCTTCTTTCATAGCTTTCTGCCACTCAAGTTGCTGAACAACTTCTTTATAATCGGTTGGATCTGTTGCATACAAGGCAAATGTACAGGAGTTGTAAACATCAGCCACATATTTGAACTTCTTCGGTGTATCATCATAAGTGTCTCTCGGTGGTGGATTATTTGATGAATTGTCATTATCAGAATCTGAACTTGAAGAATCTGAACTTGTAGAGCCTTGATCACCCTGGGGTATTTCTGCATTATCTCCTGAACTTGTGGATGGTATATCTTCAAAGTTTATAACCTGGTCTCTTTCTTTTTGGCTATTAGGTATCCACCTTGCTTCTTCATTAAACTCAACATTCCTACTTATTATCACTTTTCCACTAAGAGGGTTATATAAACGATATGCTTTGGATTGAGGACTATACCCAATGAAAATACATTTTAGAGATTTTACATCAAGTTTTGAAAGAGAATTTACCAAAGCATATGCTATACAACCAAAGACTTTTAAGTGGTTTACTGTGGGTTTTCTACCTGTCCAAGCTTCATATGGTGTGCGATTCATAACAGCTCTAGTTGGAGAGATATTTAGAATATACACGGCGGTTGCAACAGCCTCTCCCCAAAACTGATCAGACAGTCCTTTCGCTTTCATCATGCTTCTTGCCATTTCTTCTACTGTTCTATTTTTCCTCTCTGCTACATCGTTTTGTTGGGGTGTTTCTGGTGCTGTTAATTGTCTGTAAATGCCATATTTATCACAAAAATCATTAAACTCATTAGACAAAAACTCGCCACCACGATCACTTCTGAGAGCCTTGATGTTCCTGCCACTTTGTTTCTCCACAAGTGCTTTGAAATTCTTGAAACACTCAAAGGCTTTTGACTTGAGTTTTAGGAAATAAACCCAACTCATACGACTGAAATCATCGGTAAGCAAGAAAAAATACCGACTTCCGCTAAATGTCTCAGCTTTCATAGGACCACACAAGTCAGCATGTACAAGTTCTAGACAATCTGAAGCTCTCCAAGAACTTGCAACAGGAAACGACTTTATGCTTTGTTTCCCATAAACACACCCCTCACAAAAACCAACTTCACCAATATTTGGCAGCCCGAAAACCATCTCCTTTCTGCTTAGCAATCTCAGCCCATTTACATTCAAATGTCCATATCGTAGATGCCAAAGCCTGGCCTCATTATCACAACTAACTGTTAAGGCTTTATAATCTTTTGTAACATCGAGAGGGAACACTTGATTTTGAGTCATTTGGACAATAGCCATAGGCTGCCTAGATTTCTTGTTAATTATGGAACACGTGTCATCATCAAATACCACACGATGTCCACTTCTCATTAGCTGTCCAACACTCAGTAAGTTATATGCTAAACTTGGTACAAATTGAACAACATGAAGAACTTTAGTATTACCTTGCATGGTTTCGATAATAATTGTACCTTCGCCTTTAACTTCAATCTTTCGGTCATTCCCAAGTCGGACTTCACTTTTCTTTGTTTCATCAAGATCCCGGAATGAAGATCTTGAACCAGGCATGTGATTCGAGCATCCACTGTCTATATACCACACACAATTTGAAACATTAGTAGCTGTAGACATAGTCATAAATAACCTACCTTCTTCTTCCACCTTTTCAGTAAAGTTAGCTTTATTTTCATCTTTTTGCTTGGTCCAACAATCAGCTTCAACATGTCCAGACCTATTACAATACCGACAATGCAAGTTGCTCTTTTGGTAACGTTGATCTGCAAAGTTTCCTCTTCCTCTTCCACGACCATGACCTTGAAAAGTGCCTCTTCCTTGGCCACGACCACCGGAAGAACCACCAGATTTTTCTGGCCTCCCTTTAGAGGAATTGCCTCTTACTTGGAATGCTTTCTCATCACTTTTTTCGCTGCCCATGTTTAACCTTTCTTCGTGTGCAATCAAAGAACTCATCAAATCATCAAACATGTAAGTTGATAGGTCCTTAGATTCTTCAATCGCGACAACAACATGATTAAATTCCTTGGTCAGGCTTCGTAGGACTTTGCTTACTATTGTTTCTTCACTAGCATTTTCACCATAAGTTTTCATGTGACCGACAAGTCCAGATACTATAGAAAGAAATACTTGCACATATTCCTTTTTTTTCATAACCAAAGTTTCAAATTCACGACGAAGTGATTGAAGTTTCACAGTGATTACCTTTTTATCACCCACATATTCTTGCTTCAAATTTTCCCATGCCTCCGTGGATGTTAATGCTACAGCAATACGAGGAAATATTTCATCATCCAACGCTGATTGGATGTATAGAAGAGCCTTTGCATCCTTCTTACGAGTGTCCCGCAACGGTTGATCTGGTTGAGCCGGTGCTGGAGTTGGCTCTATGTATCCGTTTTCCACCAATTCCCAAAGGTCATGGGATTTGAACAAAGTCTTCATTTTTAGACTCCACAAATGATATTTTTCTCCTTTGAAGACTGGAATCAGAGGCTGAGTTGCAGAATTATTGTTGTTGCTTGCCATTGCTATCTCTCTTAGGTGTTTCAGTCAATTACTCATTTCTTTTGCTTGATAAAGAAAGAAGCAGATCAGAACCTGAAAGTGCTCTGATACCACTGTTGTATGTAAATAGGAGAAGAGAAAAAAGGATAATATTTCACTGCCATTTGAAACTGAGAAATTACAGAGCTTAAATAGGAAACAAAAACATGAACTAAAAGAAAGATAAAAAGACAGACTAGGACTCTTGACTTTTGTAACTGAAAAACAACATTTAAGACTCTACTAATGCAGTAATTAAAGACACATGGCAGTGATTATTTGAATCAATTAACCAACATTTATGTATTTAGGTATGGACAACTCGAATTTGGACAATTGCTGATGGACATTGTAGAACAAAAACTCACTGCTATAGTAGAACACTGCTTCATGGAGGTGCAAATTACAGGGCAACAGGTCATGGGTTTTTTTTGTCTTTCACGCGAAATTTGCTGAAAACTATCGGCTTTATTCGCGTAGTCATTTCGTGAAAGGAATCGAGCTTATGATCCTGCTTCTTGTTTACCAAAATATTTGGTGAGTCATATAGAGGAGTTGTTGCTTACCTGTTGATCACCATTTTTGCAATTTTGTTGGTCGTAAAGGTAAGCAATAATATATATCTATTAGTTTTGGATTGGATGTTAATGTTGATGGGTATTTTTGGTATTTGAGTATGAATATCTGTTTGTGCTGCTGTCGGTTTCTCCGTATATATAGTTGGCTTCCTGACACAGGTAACTTCATATTTTATTGCTTAAAATTTTTTCTCGTTTATTCAGAGCACCATATGTGATGATGTTGAAGACTCAATCACCTGGTCAGTTTGAAGACTCACTGTAGTGTAATTAACTTTTCCATTTATTAACTGTTATGAACCTTAATATGTTTACTGACTCTGATCTTTTCTTTTATGAGCATGATGGGGATGGGAAGGGATATTATATATGATAACTGATCATGTGACTTAATATGTGCAACCTCATCTCCAGAATTATACAGAATTAACTTAGAGCAGGTTTGTTGAAAAATTGCAATTTTTCTCCCTTCATGTCTTTTATGGTTTTACACTTAGTGTCTTTTTTAACTTTTTGATTCTACAATTTTGTTGGTGTCAAAAGCAAAACTTTCTTGTTACCTGAAACATTATAAAAACTCTGTTTCATATCTTTTTTTAAACAATTTTTGTCCAAACTGGACTACATACTATTTTTTTTGGTAAAAAAGAAATAGTGATTTTAACAGTTTTTTTGTCTAAAATGCCCCTGCATACTATTTGTTTGATAAAAAAATATGATTTTAACAGTTTTGACCAAACTGCCCCTACATTCTATTTTTTTGTTTAAAAAATAGTGATTTTAAGAGTTTTTGACGAAATTGCCCTTGCATATTGTTTTTTTGATAAAACAAATAATGATTTTAACAGTTTTTACCAAACTTCCCCTACATACCGTTTATTCGGTTAAAAATAGTGATTTTAAGAGTTTTTTGACGAAAATGCCCCTACATACTGTATTTTTGATAAAAAAATGATTTTAAGATTACTGACAGAAGATCCAAACCAGAGACTTGGATCTAGGGGAGCAACCGAGGTGAAACATCATCAATTTTTCAGGGATATCAATTGGCATACACTTGCACTACAAAAGGTATGTGTGTGTGTTTTGTATATGCATGTGATAAATTTGTTTCATATACAACTTACTAGATTGTGATAATGCCATTTGCTTATACTGTTTTCTGTACCGTGGGTCTCATAATAGGACAAATGCATGGAAAGTTTCAAATGGTGGTTGTCCAACATACCGGCCATGCGATCAAGGTGAAAATTTCTTCTTTTTAAATAAGATCTTTTTTTTGATAAATTTACACAGACACCCAACATTTATAACCATTTTTTATACTCTTGACTAATATTTATAAGATGTTCATGATGAATTTGCATCACTCATACTCAAAAATAAAATCTACCATTTTTGGTTGTGATTTGTTATTCATGTGGTGCGACTGCCACATGTCGACAGGTTGATGAGTATGGAGGTCATGCAGAAGTTAGATCACAATCTTGTGTCAACTACTCTTTTAGTAATTTCTCCTTCAAGGTACAGAAAAAGACAATGTACTTTACTTTCATTGTTTTATTGAATTAGCTTAGCGCCTTAACTATTATGTGTAGTGTGATTAAATCAAACCCTTGTATTTGTTGTTGTGTTGCTATAGAATCTGTCTCAACTTGCTTCAATCAATTAGGATTTGCTTACGAAAGGGTTGAAAGATGATTAGTAGACAAAACCGAACAAATAGTCAACCTGGTCAATGCACAAGAATGAAATCAAAGGGGCATGGTGGTTTCATGTGAAGGATGTAAATGTAAGTACTAAGTATAGTTATTCGCATTTTTACATATTGGGATTTGTTGGTTTATGTGAATCTAATGGTTGCATTATTCAAATTTGTAGGTGATGTGCATAGTGTCAAGCAAAGTAGCTCGGATGATGTGAAGGTGGGCAACAAGTTCTTGTAGTTCAACTATTATTTGTTGATGAATTTCATCTCTTTCACATTTGATGTATTACATTTGTCTACTATTGGAATGATTATTTGTATGACATTAACTTTTGTGCAATGGATTGTATTTTTTGTATATGATATTTTATTTTCTATTATGAGAAATTAAATGCAAATTTAATTTGAAAATTAGTAAATCTATAAATACTTATTTTTTAAATATTTAAAATTATGATACGCAAAAATGTGTGTCATCTTCATTTATGACATGACCTTTCTTGACAGCGGCTTTAATGATACGCATTGCGTGTCGTAAATGCGCGTCGTAAATGCGTGTCGTAAATGGACGACGCGCAAAAGCGTGTCGTCTTTCATTATGACAGGGCCTTCCTTGACACGCATTTTCATGCCGTCTGAGCGTTTTACGACACGCATTGCGCGTCATAAAAGGCTGTTTTGCAGTAGTGAAGCGAAGCTGCCCTAACTACCTGAAGGATCTGAGAGAAGGAAGAATCAAAAAGTTTGACTCTGCTTCAGGTAAGTCCACTATCTAACTCTGTTAAGTTTATAATTGTTGATTCTTAATACATGATGTGACTAGATTACATTTTGATGTATGGCAGGATCAAGCAAAGGGAAGGAAACTTAAAGGAAGAGTATGCTAATTCTGATCGCGAAGATGGATTTCAATCACATGATTTAAAGATCGGATTTTTGAGCTGCTGCTTAGGAGTTATGATAGATTTCTAGGAAATATGTAATAGCATTGTTTTCATTTAAAGTTGCATTGTAAGGAAAACGTTTTTCCGCATTTTTATAAATAAATAAAATTTTGTTTTATCTTATTGTATCTACTTGCAATGCATTTATGAAAAATTGATGTTTGTATGTTTCTACCAATATTGGAAATATGAATTTGATTCTTTCTTTTATGGTAGTGTCATAATTTACCAAATAAGGAAAGATTCTCATCACCCAATTTTCAGTTGGATAGAAACTTGGAATCATGCAACTTGTATTGTATGATGAATGAGAATTTTCATCTTTGGAAAATTACCTTGTGCACATGTGTATGTGAGTCAAGTGAAGGACTAGGAGATCGGGTACACTTGGTTGTGCGCTGGTCAGGTCCACCACAAAGATCGATAAGGCTATTCGTCATGATTTACTAAAGTTTAGTGAATATGGTTATACTTACAAGTTTAAGTGTAATTCTGGTACATTGGAAAAGTTTCAATGTAAGGCAGAACGAATAAGAAGAATCAAATTAGGCAGGAAGATAAAAGTTTCTCCAATCTGAAAAGATGGGAGAGTACTTGAGTATCTTGTTTATGATTATCTTAGTGATTATGAAACCATATCACAATTCATCCTCTAAGGACATCTTAATGCGTTATTATGGCTAAGAAGAGGAGTCATGAATTGTTGAAGTGGTTAAATCAAGAAGATGAGTCATACTTCGTTCCAAAACAATTCTTAGAGTCATACTCCAAGATTGTAACTTGAGTGACATATCTTAAAGAAGGTTTATAACACTTGTCAAATGTAAGAGTAAAATGTTTTCTACTCTTGTACATTTGAAATTGGTAAGTTGTGATGTTTTGGATAAAACAAAGACCAACTAAGGCCAATTGTGTAAAAGTGTTTGTCTTGATAAAGAATCTGCACTATCTCTTGAATATTTGTTTTGTCAAGGAATGATTCTTGACAAGAGAATCTTATATGTCAAGAGGTCAGTGGGAGTCTTAAAGATTTTGGAAAAGTTTCAAGAACTAATCAAGAATAAAAAAAAACCTGTTGGTTATCACTAGCACATGACTTAAGATTTGTAACCTATCGTGTTGACATATTCTTGTTTCTGTGCCCATTCCAGTTAAAAAGTTGACTATGCATGTGAGTTATATGAGTTCTCAATTGTTTGCATGACAACTTGGAAGACATGGTAGGCCCTTGTGCTGCCAGGTGGCAAGAATTTGAGATTGATCAGGTTCAGTCCATATGAGCTTGTCTTGTGATTATGGTTACGACAAATTCACATGGATAGGAACACATACACCATAAAATCTAAGTGTCATAAGGTTTCTCTTCGATTCATGAAAATGATGGTGAGGAAACACTTTCACTAATTAGATTTTAAGTAGATAGCAATTGTGATATTTTGTATTCTCACAGTCGTTAGTGGAGCGTGTGTGGGTAACCGACACACTAACATGGACTTGTGAGAAATGGCAAAGGTCTAAACAATTGAGACTATGATTACGACATTCCTTTTCATAGTTCTAAATATTGTTTAGACACACATGTGAGCTATGTAAGGAAAGGTGTATGATTTTGATAAAGTTTTATCAAAGCATCTCGTATCAGAAATCTGAACTTTGGTAAGAAAGTCAATAAAGTATTGATTTCTAGAAGTCCAGCTGATTTCTGAGTACATGTCAAAGCTAGTGGGAGCATAAGTGTTATGCTAATAATTA